TGTAGGTGAGGAAATTGAGGGCTAAGAAAATCAAGCAGCTTCCGTAGCTAGGAAGTGGCCGGGCCTGACTTTGTAGCCAGAGCTGCCTGACTCACTGTCCCCTCCCCAGCGCCTCTGCTTTACTGACAGAGCTTGCTGCCCCATGCAGACAGCAGTGCTGAGGCTCTGGGTGGCCTCGGGTTGCCATCACATTTCAGGATTTCTTCTGTCTGTTGCTGCTGGCTGCATTAGCACCTTTCTGCTCACTTTACCAGGACATGCCAACACTGTGGTCCTTTCTCAGCAAGTCAGCAAGTGGCAGAGACTTGTATCTCACCTTCATCACATATGCCCGTCCTCTGACTACACCTGTAGTAGTCTGTTTCTGTTGCTTATAGCAAAATACACGGAACTGGGTGATTTATAAAGAAAATGAAATTTATTGCTTACAGTTTCTGAGGCTGGGAAGTCCAAAGGCCATGGAATGCAGGTGGTGAAGGTCTTGGTGGTGTCCATAGTGATGGATGGCAGGTTATTACGTTGAGAAAATGGCAGACCAGAGAGAGAAAGTTCCTCCTGCACTGTCCTTTTAAAGCCCTCAGAACCACACCCCTGACCACCATTATTAATCCATTCACTATGGCATGGTCCTACAACCTAACCACCTCTTCAAGGCCCCACCTTTCAATTACTGTCATAGGATTTCCCACCCTCTTAGCAGTCACAGTGGGGGCCAAGTTTCGAATGCGTAAAACTTGGGGAACACAACTCAAACTTCAGTGAGTTTTGGGGGGACACGATTCAATCCACTACAACACCTAACCTCGAGGAGGGCTGGGAAAAGGGGTCCCTCCAGTTATGTGCAGATCTCCTTCTCATTATGGAAAAGAATAATAACAGAGAAGAAACAAGAAATCAGCCATAATCCTTCCACCAAAATTTAGCCACAATTAATAGACAGCAACGAATATCAAAATAGATGTAGATGTGAATGATTTCTGCACACACATTATTTCACAACTCAGAATCATGCTTCTTTGTGAGCCTTTTTCACTCAGTGTATTCTAATATTCTCTAAATGTCTACACCAGCTGGTTTAACCTCTTTGTTACTCTGTTGGCTCACTGTCAACATCCCCTATGTAGGTAACCTTGTATCTCTCCCATCCTTCTAGAAACTACTTATTTTTTACATCCAAATGATGCTGAAGGAGGCACCTTCTGGCATTTCCCCAACATTCATGACTATTACCTATTTTTCTAACAGCTATGAACTAATTTGACATAAACTCATAGCCAGCAGTTTTAAGTGTGCCCTCAAGGACTACCAGAGACTTTACCCAATGATTAGTTAAATTCAAAATATACCAAACTATCGGTAGCCTGGGGTATAAAGGTAATTTGGAGTAAATTATTCTCCTTGAATCTATTACGATTCCCAGTGACAACTACTTTTTCCTATGTTTAAAATGCTGGTTCAATCATTTTCAAGTGATGTGTATTAAACTCACGGGTCAGACTGTACTTTCTGGAAAATTCAGATAATGTATCAAAATTGAGTTTTCTGGCCTTTTTGCTGTTCCCTGCGATTTCTATTAACAACGTCTTCCTGTTCTGACAATCCCTTCTGTACGTCGCTTTAGCCTTCTGGGTTGTGACTTATCTGGGATTCCCCATCTGGTGGGAATCCTCCGTCCGCCTTTCATCCAATAGCTACCTGTGCTCTAAGCCCCAACCGTGTGACCTGTCTCCGCCCCCCGGAGGTGACCTGTGCTGCCTCTATAGCCACATTTCACTGTGCGAACCTGTTAGAAGGAAACACCCAGAAGGACCTGGCATCCTGCAGCTCACATTCCTAGGGGCAGTTCTCAAGGTGATATGGGTGAGTTTTAGGAAAAAGTGTAACAAAGGCTAAAAGGCCACCTAAGAGCTCCCTGATGTGAGGACCACTGTTGTTTCATCTTGTAAGTACCAAAAACAAGCAAAAGGTGATATCATTTTTGAGTTTTTGAGCACATGAGCTCTTCGCTGATGTCCCAGATGATAAGAAATATCATTACTCAAGGAAGTAGGACCTGGAGACATCTTCATAGTTGTTTGTTGGTTTACAAACTCCATAAGTTGCTGCTCTGGTATTCTCAGAAAAGGCATAAAATTCTTGTCGCATCCTTGCGTCATGACAGCAAACTGCTAACGTGGATTTGCTGGAAAGATTCTCCCCATAACATTCAAGGTACTTACAAAGCTGAAAGGCGAATAGGCGAAGTATTTTAAAATGTTTTCTCTCTAGCTATTTTCATCACTGGTCAGATATTTATAGTGTATTTCCTCAGCGTGACACTAAATGGACAAATTGCCACATTAGGAGCGAAAGCTCTCCTTTATTCACAGTGGGAAGGATGCTTCCTCCAAACTCCCGTCTGGAGTAAACTTGAGACGTATATCGATCCACTCGACACCCCCTTGATGAGTTAGCCTCGTGTCTCTTTTAATAATCAGCCCCAGGACTAAGGTCAGTTGAATTATTTAGTGGACACAGCACTTTTCACCTTGGTCTTCTTCAGACGATTCCTTGACTATTCTTGTTTTTGTTTTTACATATAAATTTGAGAATCAGCTTAAGTTTCCCAAAAGCTAAAAGCAATAGCCTCCTTGGGATTTTGATTAGAGTCTGTTATCCCTTTTTAAAGACAGAGAAACTGAGATTCAGAAAAGTTAATTTGCCCAGGAATACACAACCAACACAAGACAGGACAAAGTGCCACACCCAGGTGGTTGGACTCCCAAGGCCATGCTGAACTGCCACACCCGTCTAGGGAAGGGGACTTGAGGATGGATGTGGAGGCTAAAAACCTACGAATCTAACACACCAGGGCTGCCTGCCTGACTCCTCTGAAGGCTCGCCTGGTAGTGATCCCCCCGAATCATCACCAATATCGTGATAGACCCTGGTTGGTGTAGTGCTCATGAGGGTTTTACCCGAGGGCACGGTGGTCCTTGAAACTTTACAAGGAAAAGAAAAATCTTAATTTTTCTTCATAATGCCCTAATATTGAACTGGCAACTGGGGAAGGCTGCATTTAATCCCCTGCATTTCCGATGTCAGTCGACTACCTCTCCTTTTTTTAGAGTTCTGGACAGATTGTCATGGAACTGTTTAGTGGCTAATCCAGTGACAATAAATAAATTGCATGAATATTCAACATCAAAGTGCTGCCTTCCTGTAAACCAATGGAAACCACTCCCATTTATGTAGCTCCTAAAGTCAAGTTCAAGGAGGGTGAGCTGCCAGCTTAATGTCTATTCCTCAGAGAGAGACTGGGTGTGTGGAAAACAAGTAAGGAGTTTCACAAGCTGGAAATGTCTGTACAGGTGTTGCCGGGAAGGCCACAGATGTGGTGAGTCAGGTGCTGCTGGGTCCGGATTTGTGCCAGGGATTCGTGGAGCTTCTGGGGCCTGGAGAATGGGATGTCTCAGCTAAGCCAAGATGATTTCAGGGAAATCAGGCCAAAGGCTCCTTTCTGTTTCCCTCCTATCAGGAAGGTGTGGGAATCACTCAGAAATGCAGCCTCTCTTTCAGAAAGTCTGAGCAAGTGTCAACATACCCCCGTGACTGTCTTTAGGACTGAGACCATCCTCAAAGCCAACCTGGATGACCCAGGAGGGACTCCCCTGTCCCCACTCTGAGCATAGTTTGTGATTCAGAATGAACTTCACTGAAGGCTGCACTGACGTTTTCCCTTGGGGCAATTTCCGATGCTCTGCAGAAGGGAGTTCTGAGCCCAAGAGAAGCACTTTCTCACACAGAGAAACAAGACCAGCAGGAAGGGCGCAGGAGAAAGCGCTCGGATCACTTATCAGTTGTGACAGCCTCAGGCGAGTTGCCCAACTTAAGAGTTGTCTCAGTTTCTGATTCTGAAAAATGGGACAATAGTATTAATCCTCATCTTGTGGAATTCATGGGAGCCTTAAAATGAGATGACTATTACATAGCTTGTTCATTTTGGAAGACATTATTAACAAAGATTGTAACAAATCTAAGATCTCTCAAGTATTATATTAGAAAGTTCATCCTAAAATTTTTCTTCCTGGGTAGTTTGCAATGATTCTCTGCTTCCAGGAGAAGCCAGTCTGCTGTGCTCATTTCCTTTTTCATCAGAGTATTCAGAACTCCTGCCTTCACCCTTCCCCTCAAAGGCTTTATTTGCCAAACCATAGAGTCACTTCATTATTCTGTTTTGAGCTGGAAACTGAGCACAGAACTGTGAGTCCAGCTGCTGTGTACGTGTTGAATTTGTTCCTGACTTTAGAACTCTTAGGAATGCATGCGTGCATGTGTGTGTGGTCAGGGTGCAGTGGAGGTAGTTTTCTTGCCTTCATAGTTATTTGTCTTTACTGATATCCTCAAAATTCAGCCCGTGTTTACCTTCATTAAATTATTCTACAATTATTTTTCTGAAAAATTAAGCTCCAACCATGTGCCAATGACTGTTCTAAGGTACTGGGCAGACGATGATCTTCAAGGTAATCATGGTCTTGGAGATACTGACAGTCCAGTAAAGGAAGGTGAAAACCCCAGCCAGCAGTAGCCGAGTGCAGAGAATGCCATGCCAGTGCAGGGTGCTTGGGGAACAGAGCCTGCCCCAGAAATGTCCCCTCATCTGAACCTGTCTAGGCTTACTCAAAACGCAGGGAGGACATGGGTTCCATGGCCACCTTGGCCACTGCTTAGCTGTGAAGCTGTAGAATACTGACCAACTCACTTCACCTCTCTTGGCCTCGGTTTCCCCAACTGTAATAATAGTACCGACCTCAGATGGTGTTCAGAGAATTAAAAGGATGATTGTTTTTAGAGGTGCTTAGACTGTGACCAACAGAAATCAATGTTTGCCAAATAAAAATAAATCAACTAATGTACAATGAGTTTAATTTCAAGTGTATTTTTTTCTTTAAAGAGCATTTTTTCTGATTCTAAAAGCACATCATATTTTTGCTAATGGTTAACATTGGTTTGTGTTTTAGACGCTTTCCTGAGTCCTGGATCTTTCTTCCTTCTGGACATATTCTACTGTGGGTATTTATTTATTTTTGAATAAAAGCAAGCACACGTCATGGACCTCGTTGGATTGCTGAAGTCTCAGTTCCTGTGCCACCTCGTCTTCTGTTACGTGTTTATTGCCTCGGGGCTAATAATCAACAGCATTCAGCTCTGCACTCTCGTTCTCTGGCCAATTAACAAGCAGCTCTTCAGGAGAATCAACTGCAGACTGTCCTACTGCATCTCAAGCCGTAAGATACTTATTTCTAATTCTCTATCTGCATCTTCATTGCCGATGTGTATATCAGAGTTATGGCTCTTGATATTGGTTCAGTAAGCGTTCATTATATGTCGAGCTATTTTTTGTCTTGTTTTTGTTTTTGTTTGTTTTACGTTCGAAATGTTTATTTTGACCCCTCTCTTCAAAAATTACTTTTTGATGAATAATGCCAACAGTTCAAAATTCAACAGGCACAGAAGGGTATACTGTGAAAAGTAAATACGCATTCTATCACTGTTTCTCTAGTTTTCCTCCTCAGAAGCAGTCAGTGTTAATAATGTCTTACGTATCCTTACAAAAATAGTGCATATATAGCTCTTACGTGTGTGCTTGTATGCATCTGGGTCTTTCTGTGTATATGTATAGATAAATAATACATACATATATTTTTTAAAAGCTAAATGGCCATATTGTATATTATTCTCTTCCTTGCTTTTTTCCTTCAACTTTTTATTTTGAGATAATTGTAGATTCACATGCCAAAGCGAATGTGCAATTACAGAGATATCCCATGTATGCTTTGGCCAGTTTCCTTCAGTGGTAACATCTTGCATAGCTGGAGTACAATATTCCAACCAGAAAATTGACATGGATACAATTCAACAACCCTACTCAGATTTCTCTACTTTTATACGTATTCATTTGTGTGCATGTGTGTGTGTGTGTGTGTGTGTTTATGTGAGGCTATCTTAAATACAACAATTTGACTGACCTGAGTTTCAGCCATTAAAAACAGTGATCAGTGCATTGGGACATCTAGTGATGTGTTTTGTTGTTGCTGTTGATTGATCTTAAGCCTATCCCTATTCTCAAAAGTAGAGAATCAGTGTATCATTAGTAATTGTAGATATGGGTGTGAATATATTTCAAAATATGAGCTCTATCAAATTAAGCATTTAAAAAAAATCTCAGGTACCTTAGCATCCAAAATTATTGATACCTTTCTGAAACCCTTTCAATGAAACAATCAAATCCGAATTTGAGTCAAAACAATACAAGCTATGTACAATTATCCAGATTACTGCTGATCCAACCACTTCTTTTTTAAACTTCAAAATACTAACTTGTGAGGGAAAAAAAATGACAGAAACATCCTTATTCATGATTTCTTTCACCAGCTCAGAATTTGCAAATATGCCTGATACTATTTCTGATATGGATGCAAGACCATGTCTTGTATTAGAGTGTTTCACATGAATATATCTTGAAAAGGTTCATAAGATCATAATGCTGAGTTATAATTGTCAAAAATATCTTTATTCCATGTCTTTTGGGTGCAACCACCCATTCAATCCTGTACTACATGTGTACTTTTCCTTATTATACACATTACTCTAACATTAGTCTCCTAGTATTGAGGCTTGCACAGTGGTATAGAAAAAGGGAAGACTTGTCAGAGGAAGACAGAGACAGTAGGAGATGACCTGGAGCTGTTTGAAGAGAGAAGAATGTGTATAATCAGGGGAAAGGAGATAACTGACTGATATTTACCTTATAATTTTAAATTCTTTTTACAGTCTAGCAGTGAGTTTTTATTTAAACAAAATTTAAATTTAGCAAAGCAATGCTATTGCACTTTTCACTGAAACCTGCATTTTAATGATTTGCACACACCAACGGAGATTCCAAAATCTGTCAGTTTGCAATGTGAAGTCCTATATATTTGCACTGGCAAAACACCTATCCAAATTTCAAGCAGATGGTTAAGAATTGCTTTTCTCATTTAGAGTTAAGAAGTAAGAAATAAGATTCAGGGTCAGAGTTCCTAAGAGTGCTATATTTCGCTTTTGGTTGATGATAAAGACATACTAAGGTTCTGGAAGGATAATGTAGATATTTTTCTGAAGTTGTGTTAGTCTAGTCATTTCTGGTGGAAATGAAGATGGGTAACAAATTCAGAAAGCAAGGTAGATTTTTATCCATCACACATTAATTAATTTATAAAAGTTATAGATTGATTAATTAATTAGTTACAAAAATTAAATTAAATTATTTAGAACAAATCCCAAACGAAACTCAAAATTAACCATTCAAGACGACTGGCATTTCAGCACAGGGTGTGATGAAGGGCACGCAGTCTAATCTTACTGGAAGACCTGGAAGCATCACCACCAAGTACACCCAGTGATGGCTTCCCTGGAGGAAGGCTTCCCTGGAGGGAATCTTCCATGGGCTTTATGCCAAGCAGTAGCAGAGACATTTGCTAATGACCTGAAGAAGGAAGAGATTTCTCTCTCTAGAGGAGCTGTCCTGGCTCCTGAAAAAAGAGAACGTGGTGGAAGGGAAGGGAGATCCATCCTGGGTGTGGCTCAAGGACACCTCATAGCATTGAATCAGTGCCAATTAGGAACCACGTCCCCACTCCAGGTTCCCCTCTCTGGTGTCCTGGCAGGTGTTCGACAGCAGAGCTGTTCCCTTCCCTGCTTTCTCTTTACTTGCTCTTTGTAACTGACAGATTTCCTTATACCCTGAATGTTTCACAACCAAAGACTTGTAAAAAGACAGAATGTTCAGGAAGCTTTGCTGGGCCATGGATCGTGGGCTATTCAATAGCTTGAATAGGAGAGAGTGATGCCCCTTCTGTTTGTTTTAACTGTCCTCCTCTTCCCTCCAAGTGAAGGTAAAAACTGTTCATGAGGCTTAATTGTGTCTTTTGGCATATGAATCCCTCTCAGCTTACAAATCAGTAGCACTCACCATTTGCAGCTGATTCTCTAAGAAAAAGGCAGAATAAACTGTTTCCTTGAGACGCGAATCCTCCATTGCCCTGTTCACGTTTTACTGAGAGAGCTATGTCATCGTCCCTGTTTTCATTAAAGAGCCTGTTGTTTACAAAGTGAGTTCAAAGCAGTCACCAGGGCTGGCACGGTGAAGCTCACGTGCAACAGGCCACGCTGATGCAAATGACAAATAGAGACAAAACACAGTAAAGACAGGCTGGTTACAGCAGGACACACCTAGCAGGGAATTTTAGTCGAATGGCAAGGACCAACCTTGTGAATAACAATTTGAAAGTAATTTAATCCAGACGGCTGGTTTTTAGGGGGCCGCAGGCTGGTTACAGCAGGACACACCTAGCAGGGAATTTTAGTCGAATGGCAAGGACCAACCTCGTGAATAACAATTTGAAAGTAATTTAATCCAGACGGCTGGTTTTTAGGGGGCCGTCATGTTTGGCCCGGTTTTATAGGCAGGACCGTGAAGTCAGGCTGGCTTAGCACGTGGAACGTGGAGGGAGGATGGAGCCACCTTCCTGAAGGTGAAAAAAAGAAAGAAAGTTATAAGAAGTGGGGTAGAGGATAGAATTTTATTCCCTTTCCACCACACAGGATGTGCCTTTTAGTCTCTAGGAAAAGGTGGTAACTGGCTGCTCTTTTTCCTCCCCTGACATTGTGGATTTAAAAAAAAATAAAACCCAGAAGGATTAGGGGAACCTATTAATGTCAGGGTTTAAAAAAAGAAGAGCAGGGCATGGGGGAGACTACAGATGACCGTATGCTCTGGAAAGGACCAGTGAAACAAACGAAATGGAGACACCTTCTCTCCCCCTTCCCACCCACCCCCCAGCCCTGGTGCCTTGCTTGCAAATTCAGGGCTGCTGCAGACTCGTTCTGTGACTGTCAGCCTGACACTTCATCCTCTGGACCACGACGCTCATGGTGCTGAATGGCTGATGCACAGCTCCCCGTAGCTCCATTAAGAGGCAAGGCCACATGACGGTGAGCAGGAAGTCGGAATCTGGAATGCTGGGATGCAAAATAAAGCATCCCGCCATCCCATTTACGGGCTGTCCCCTTGGGCAAACCACAGGAACTCTCTGAGTCCAAATAACAGGACCCATCACCATGGCTGCCTGAAAAAGGACAATGAGATGCTGTGTACAAGAGCGCTTTAAAAATTGTTCAAAGGACACAAAATTTAGGATGACAATTGGAACTTGTATCTATGGAGGGAGGGAGGGAGGACAAGTGTGTCCTTTTCTTCCCATTTTGGTTTGTTACTTGGACAGATAACTTCAAAAACCTCAACGACATTTGAAATAAAGGGGATGGAATAGAATTGACCAAGATTCCAATATTTTTCTAATACAGGGTTTAGATGTTTTTGGTTTTGCTCTTGGGAAAACGTTTACTTCCCCTTTCAGCACCCCACCCCCACCCCAAGTTGAAGGTCATTGCCATTGTGTCCGTAGTAGGGTTGGCTGGAGGTGGCTGAGCACGAAAAGAGAAGCAAGCTCTCTCTATTGCCACTTACAACACCAGTGCATTCAGCCTGCCTGGAACAGATGTCGGTTTTCCTGCTGTAATAATAATCAACTTCAGGATGTATAAGTTGCTTCAGATTTGTTATTTGAGAAGGGGGTTGGGCAGCGGCTAGCAAGGCTGGCAGAGGCTGGTCTGTGATCCTATCTGGATAGCAAGGTCAGGGCTTGGAAACGCATCAGGCACAGCTGCAGCCAGGGATGTGCATGCAAGAGGGACAGGAGCTCCAGGTTGCTGAAGAAACCGTGCACTTTGGGGTGTTTTGTTCCTGGCGCTTGTCTGAAACTGCAGACCATAGAGATGGGGGTCAGCCNGTTTTGTCCCCTCCTCTGGGCAAGGGTGCAGGCCCCTCAGTTAGGAATCTGTTCATGTTCTCACTCTTCATGACCCAGTGTCCCCAGGTAGGTCTGAAGACCTAATAAGACCAGCAGACCCATGTGCTTTCCCACCAGTGCTGGAAACTGTCTGCAGGCATGGCTGCCAGGAGACCTGCTGGGTGAGGCCTGACTTTGAATTTCCTCCTCCTTATTGATAAAGAATCTCGTACACATTACGTTTGAAAATCAGGCAGTAATTTGTAAAACAAAATGATCTTCTTTATTATTATTCATTAATTTTGTACAATGATCTTATTTCCTGCTTTGCCTAGGGAACTTCTGGGAGGTAGGACAGATGTCAGTCTGTCAGTCTTTCTTCTAGGCCCCTTGAG